AAGCACTAGTTGATAATATTCGTATTCGTAATTGAGTGTAAATTCCAAATCAGAATTAAAAAATTTGAGTGTAGATACCAAACTTCCAATGTACTCTTGAAAATTTGATGTGCATATGACAAAAATAGCAAATAAATAGAATTTAATTTTTCAGTCAAAAAAATTTGTTTAAATAAATTCAAAAAAATTTAAATTAATAAAGATAATATTGAATTTCAAAAAATTAATTCAAAAATTGTAATGTCAGTAAAATTTAAAATTAATAGACCATAAATTTGAAAATCTAAAATCAATAGATCATAAATTTAAAATTATAAAATTATAAAATTAATAGATCATAAATTTAAAATCAATAAAATATAAATTAAAAGTTTTTTCTATTAAATAAAAAAATAGAAAGTTTTGAAATATTTTATTAATAACTATCAATTAAACATTTTGTACATTAGAAATTAAAAAAATACATTTTTATAAGACTTTTATCACAATAACATAAAATATAAATTACAATAAAACTTGATTGATTCATTTTGTAGTGTAAATTTTATTTTTTTTAATAATCCATACATCATTACCATTGTCATTTTTAGTCTCATATTTAGAAACAAACAAAGAAAGATATTCAATGAGCATCAAACATATTGAAATAAAAAAAATTGAAGATATTATATGCATTGATAATTACACATTAGAGTATTATTGATAATTATATCATGAAAATGATTAATATTTTAAGTAAAAGATTAAAGTTTAAACATTCAAATGGTAGTTAACAAAGCATGTATAATAAGATGAACATTGGATTTTTCTAACTAAAATTGCTGAAATCAAGATAAAAAATGAGCACAGGGTATACATTAAGCAAAAATGTTCTTGCTCAGTCTCATCATCTTTCCTTCTCATGACAGATTGTACAAATTTAATTAACTCTAAAATTTAATAAAAATTTTAACTTTTTAACTTATTTTTATTCTTTTTACTTTCAATTTGAAGTTCAACATTTAACTATCAATTTAAAAAGATGTTAGTTATCACATTTTTTTGAATTTTTTTAAATAAAAATTAATTTTTATATTTAATTAAAAAATAAAATTTTATTTTTCAAAACAAATTTTAATTTTTGGAAGTAAAAAATAATAATTTGTGATAAAATTAACCAAAAAATATTTTTTAATCGAATATGATAATAATTCATTTCTAAGTTTTTTTTTGAATTGTTAAAACTAATTTTTTTTTCTTACTTTTGATTTTTCAAAATTTTAATTTTATAAAAGTTAATTTGTTATACTATATTCTTTTAATTGAATATTTAACTTGTTAAATTTTTTTTAATACTAAGAAATAATTTTGTCTATTTATGTGTAAATTATTAATTAAAATTATTTTATAAATTTCAATAATTTCATTTTCTAATTTTATAATTTAAAAATTTATTTTTTATTGATGTTAACTTTTGCAATAAAGTTATTATTATTATTTATTTATTTATATTTTATGAAATTAAAATTAAAATTTTACGTATTTATGATAAGGATTAAATTTTTCATTAAAGTCCAAGTCATATGTACATCATTTACTTGGATTTTTACTTTGTGTTGTTACATGGTGGGTTGTGTTAGTTAGCTCATCAAGATAGGTTAGATCTATGCAATACACCCTAGCTGTCAATAGGGGGTTATAACCAAATGACCATACAAACTAAAAATTCAACTCATCACCGACATGCAAATCACAATGGACCCGTAACGTTTGGCTAAAGTGCAATACTCGCCTAGGAGGCTCTGCTTTGTGTTGTGACATGATTGGACTCTCTCAGATCTTTAAGGCCCCCTTGTGCAAGGCCCCCTCTCTATCGTCGCGCTAAGTACTACAGTAGGAAGACAAAAACCCTAACCTTTCATGTGCAACTTCCATGTAAGTTCACTTCACTAGTAATTGAAATAACTTGGAATCTGGAGTCGAGCTCCTTCATCTTGCTTAAAAGGTGATTGAAGTGGAGAGTGAGGTTGAACATCTTGTCAGTAATCATGATTCTGTCAACCGGTCTCTTATCTTAAGAAACAGTAAATTTCTGCGACCTGAGAAACCTTGTAGAATATGTAGATGGCCACGATGTTCATGAGTCTCTATCGATAATCCACAAAGTTTGAAGATACCATGTGTAGTTGCACTGGCATCCTTCTTCAGCTCCCTCGAACTTAATGAAAGTTACATTGCAATGCGGTGATTCAATTTACAAAAGTAAGTCAAGCATGGGTATCATTATCAATATATTGTTGTGTAAACTATTGTATTCAACATGCTTTTTTGTTTTAGAATAATCAATTGACATCATATGTTGTCTGCAGCTAAAAAATTAACAGTTTGAATAAAAATAATGCTTTGGCTGCTAATGCGCAGATATCACATTTTAATGAATCTAGTAGAGAAGTGATCTACAATTGAGTTGATTGATTGTACATTGAAATCAATTGTTTGATTAAAATAAAAGAAATTCCCTTTGAATAATCTCAACTATACTCCAGAAAAGTATACAAAATATTCATATTTTTTATTTATCTGATTTACAACCTAGTTTTTCAGATTTGTAAAAGATAGTTAAAATTAAATCTGCAACCATCAACATAGTTCCGACAACCATCAACATACTTTGTCTGATGCTGCAATCAGTTGGAGGTTGAGCAGCAAAATATTCTATTGACGGTTGAATTAGAGTAATTGTTGCGTCTCAGTTACCAAAGTAGGCTTTCTGCGTTCATTATCTCTAACAATTTCTGAAATCTGTGAACAAAGTTTTGCACGTAGTATATTGATTTGTACATATACATAGTGTAGAATGGCAGGAGAGAAAATTGCGTCTGATACCCCAGAATTGAAGACCTTTTCAACTATATCGGAACATTTGAGATTTTGGAAATATTTCTAGAAGTCTGAAATAACATTGTAGTATTTGCCTCTTGGTGAGAGGAATTCATACATTTTTTATTGAAGCTCTACCTCAAGAAAGTCATTAGCCAAAAGTTGAGAGATATTGCAAAAACCCTCTTAAACTGTATGGGATCGTTATTTTATTTGCAGGTTTTAAATTTGTAACTTATCTATTGAATACTTTTGAAAAAAAATTAAATGGAGTAAGTTCCAGATGGAGATCCAAAACAAAGCTGCAACCAAAACAAATTAGTCCTTTACATATAGCAAGCACTTAAGTCCTGATTATCAAACAACTGGAAACCAGCCAAGTTGGCTTCTAGCCCACAATCAATATTTTCTTTGAATAAAAGATTGCTAAGAGAAGGACGTTTTCCTACAGAACTAGATTCTAGCACTTCTCAATATCCAGAATATCTCATCTGCAATCACTTATGTGTGCACTTATACAGTCTTTTCTAGAATGGTCATGACGTCAATATCCGCAGTTCAGTTTACCTGGAACCTCTAACTTCAAACCACAAAGAAGTGGCAGTGATTTGTTATCTGTTATAGACAGCAGTGACACTTTTCAATCCCATACTGCTCAGATCGTAACCTTAGGAGTCATGTCTAATCAAGGTCGTTTAGCTCTCAACATTTGAGAATAACATCTTTAGCATCTACTATTATTACAACATGTTTATTACTACATGTACAAATAATAAACATGAGCGTTCCTCCAATCCTTCCGAATCGTTTCGAGTCCGAAGAATTTAGCAAACTAGAAATGCATGTCCTCGTGCGGCTTTAGCAGTACGGAGGAGAACCCGACTGTGTTCTCCTTCAAGCTACTCTTGGTCCATTCTATCCCCGACCCAAGGTTGAGAGGCAAACAGAGTCTGGTAAGAAGAATGATAAGAGTTCGTCCTTCTGAAACAATCAGTTGTCCAACAGTGAGTGTGGCAGACGCTACGAATCCACTGTGCTTGCGGAACACGTCAGCAAATATCTCACTCTATATATCTTGTACCGTCCACAAAGTACAGTACAATGCCCGTGCATGAACAATGGATAATTCTTTCAGAATGATGACACGGTATGAATCAACTGTTGCTGATTCATCCCAAGTACACACCAACAGAAAACAGAAATGTGGAAGAAAAGATCGGATGGATGAACGACACTTCAACACATGTAGTTTATAAAACCTTCTGCCCGTCCCTCTTCGTTAACAAAACAAATATCCAATTTTTTTTTCTCACTAGCAGACCACACCTCTCAACAATATTTACCTCAATTGCCAATAGTGCAATTGTCGAGAGTGTTCAACATGGGATACATCTGTTATGTCACTAATATATCACAATATGTTACTATGTTCGCTCTGTCACCAACTTTAGTCTCGGATGATGATGAATATTTTCATTTTCTTGGATTCAGTGTTGGCATAACGTAACACCACTTCACATAAGAGAAGACACACCGCGGAATTCGATCCTGTTTGTTAGGACTGGAGTTTCGGTAATTAAGCGTACACAAGATGACAGTTAACAGATGCAACCTCATGCAGGAATCCATGTTAGCATGCAACGATCAAGCTGCTGCAGTGACCAATGGCTTCGGATCCATGTGCAGGCGCTTCTGTCATCGTCTGAAAAATACGCGTACCGACTAACACAGCAAAAAACAAAGCTTATTTTAATACACAATACGGTGGAAATCAATTGTCACTCAGATTCGAGTGAAACATATCAAATATCCGAAACAAAGGTAGCATAGATTTTTCTCTGACAACTAGATTAGGTTGGTGAATGTACAGTTACTTCCGGTGTTCAGCTATGTATATTGCAAGTTGTATTCACATCCATGGAGCCTAGGTTTGAAGGTTTTTTCATGGGTTAACAACTGTAGCAGTAAAAATCATGCAGCTTTTGGATCATCTTAAGAGCAAATTTCACGCTGAGCTCACGAGGAAAAGGTCTATTCAATAGGGTGAAATACGACTGCATATCCAATATACATAAGCCTACAGTCCTGATTTGATGATTATTTTGCTCGATCTGCACTCCAATGTGAGATCACACTCGTGACCACAAAACCTGCAGAGGGGGCGCCGACATTCCTGGTTTCCATGAGCTTGAACTGGAGGGAAGTTAGCTCAGCGAGTATAAAAAGAAAACGATGCCACCGGATTCTTTAGCAGCACAACACATTGCTCTGAAAACCCCTCCTTTTCCCGCCATCCTATTCCAATCCATTTCTCTTTCTTTGTTCTAGCTAGCATGCGTTTCTTTGTTCTATCAACCGTCTCAAGATGTCTGGCTGCGGAAACTCTGGTTGCTCGTGCGGCGCTGCCTGCAAGTGCGGCAGCGGCAACAGGTCAGTCAGCTTCTCCTGCTTCAAGTGTAGCTAGAATGTGGACGGGTGAATATATTCGACGGTGAGGGTGACGTGTTTTCCTGCAATTGTTGCATTCAATTTCACCAAGTGATTTTGTGACATCGATGAAGAGAAGACTTTTGAGAGTTCTTTCACAGTCCAATGTCAAGTATCGAGTACCTTGTACTTCACAGAATTCTCTTTAGTCTTGTGAATCAGGCTCTCTAGAAACGTTGTTGACATTCTAGATTGAAATTAAGCTCGTCTAGAATAAATTTGCCGTGAAGTAGGATCTGAAGTATTGGATCTAGCGAGTTCACTCTAATCCACATATATGTTTTGTCAATGAAGCTGCTGCGCTAAGAGGTCCATGGACGACTTTGAGAATTCCGAGATGAGAGGGTACAATTCTATACTTTTAAAATCTTCCATGTTCGAGAAGAGAAGGCCAATCTTACTTCCAGACTTGAACTTCTTAGATTGTCAGTAATATTGCACACTACAAATCTGACGCGGCCGATTTATAATTTGATGTTTTCTCTTTTAAATATGCTGCCTCTTTTCTGATAAAGCTTCTGATGATATTTCAGCTTTGAAGGAGCCAACGAAGGATGCAAGTGCGGTGACAAATGCTCATGCAACTGCAAGTGAGAAAGCAGATCATGTACAAACTGCAGACCTGTACCGTGCGGACGAAGGCCTGATTTCTCAGTTTGGTGTATTGTCATGGTCTTCTACTATGAATAGGACGCAAAGAGGGCCTGTTGTTGATCAGGTTATATAAGAAGTGTTTGCTTTTGCGTAGAATTTCTCGTAGAAAGGATCAATAAAGACAAAAATTCAACAAGTTGTCCAAAATCACTTTCCATGTCTCACAGTTGGCCTGAACATGAGCACGATGCAAGAGTTTGTCCTGGAAAATTTTGAGCTTATAATGGAAGCTAATGAGGTCATTTCTTTGGGTTTCTGCTTCCTTCAGTTACCTCGACAATATACCATAGGAGCTCTCGTCCTTGTAGAAAACCAAAAGTTATGTGGACCAAATGATCACCTAGAGTAACAATCCAAATTTCCAAAGACTCTTGAATATCCTGTGCGATAAAAAATGAGATTTTTGATTTTCTTCAATTCTTTTAAATTTGAGAATCTGAAGTTACATTCCAAAATTCCAAGATAGTCTTGAATTTACTTTACTTATGATATCAATCACAATGTGATAGTTGCAATTGAAACGGATAAAGTAAGTTGTAATAAAGAATGTATTTTTTAATTATTTTAACTCTTTTGGATATGAAAATTGGACTGTACAATTCAAACTTACGAGAGATTCTTAAAATTTTCGTGCTCATGACAAGGAAAGCAAAAAAATTAAAGTTAAAATGAATAAAAATTAATTTTGAATTTTCAAAAATAATTTGAAATAAATTGAAAAATTTAAAATAAAATAAAATAAAATTTATGATTTATAATATATTAAATAAACAAAAAATTAATTCATATATAAATTTAAAATAGATTAATTAATAAAAACTAAACATTTTGTACATTTGAAATAAAGAAACATTATCATAAAACTTTCATCACATTGACATAAAATATAAACTACAAATCATATATTTTATAACTCATATATTTACGTTATTTTTATAACCTATACTTTATTTTGTAAATTAAATTATGTAAGCTTTTTAAATGACATATACTTCATCATTTTCTTAATTTGAAGTCTCATATTTGAAAAAGAGCAAACAAAGATACACAATTACATAAAAAAATATAATTATATTATATACATTAATAATTACTCATTAGACTAATATTTATGATTATATCATGAAACTGATTAATATTTTAAACAAAACATTAAACTTTTAACATACTACTTTTCCAACTAAAATTGCGGGAATCTGGATTAAAAAGTGTAAAGCACACAATGTATGTACATCAAGAATCTGCATACTTTATCTCATCTTACTTCCTTGTAAACACAAATTGTACAGTAGTAATTAAGTTTTAAATTTAATTCAAATTTTAAATATTTAATTTGCAATTTCAACTCCAACATCGAAGTATCCATTTAAAAAGATGTTAATTATCTAATTATTTAGAAAAAATGTAATATAAATTTAAAAGTATTTTTTTTATAAAAATAAAATTTTATTTTCAAAATGTGTTTCAATTTTCAAAGTAAAAAACAATCATTTTTGATATAATTTACAAAAAAAATATTTTACAATCGAAATCTGATAATCAATTCATCTACAATTTCTTTTTTGAATTTTTGCATTATTTTATGGATTTAAAAATTTCTCTTTTTTCTTTTTTTTTTTAAAATTTTATAGCTTTGTAATTTTTCATTATTTTTTTTATTTTATATTTTAAAAATTATTTTTTGTTGTTTTTTATTTTATAAAATTTATTTTTTATTAAATTTTAATTTTAAAATTATTTTGATTTCATTTTAAATTTTTTAATTAAAAAATTAATGACGGACGCATGTATAGGACTTTAGTTCCCCCTCTCCGCTCTTCAATGCAAACCCCGGACCACTGGCCCTTCCTCCCTTTCTCATCGTATCTCTTCCCAACACCGCCTATTATCTGCTCTTCCTCCTCCTCCCCTCTTCCCTTCCCATCCCCTCCCTTCCCTGCCCCCATTTCTCCTCCCTCTGCTGCTCTTCCTCCTCCTCCCCTCTTCCCTTCCCATCTCTTCCCTGTCCCCATTCCTCCTCCCTCCGCGCCTCTCTTCTTTTTCTCTCCTCCCCTCCCTCTTCTCTCCCCCGCCGCCTCCTCCTCCCCTCACACCTCACCACAATATTTACCTCAATTGTCGACATTGCAATTGCCGAGAGTGTTCAACATGGGATACACCTGTTATGTCACTCATATATCACAATATGTTACTATGTCCGCTCTATTACCAGCTTTAATCTCGGATGATGATGGATATTCTCATTTTCTTCGCTTCAATGTTGGCATAACTAAACACCACTCCACATAAGAGAAGACACATAGCCGAATCCGTTGCTTTTTGTTAGGAATGGAGTTTCGGTAATTCAGCGTACACAAGATGATAGTTAACAGATGCAACCTCATGCAGGAATCCATGTCAGCATGCAACAATCAAGCTGCTGCAGTGAGTCCAGTGGCTTCAGATCTATGTGCAAGCGCTTCTGTCATCGTCTGATAAATACGCGTACCGAATAACACAGCAAAAACCAAAGTTTATTTTAATACACACTACGGTGGAAATCAATTGTCACTCAGATTTGAGTGAGACATATCAAATATCCGAAACAAAGGCACCTTAGACTTTTCTCGGACAGCGAGGTTACGTCGGTGAATATACAGTTACTTCCTGTGTTCAGCTTTTGCATATTGCAAGTTGCATTCACATCCATGGAGCCTCGGAGCCTCGGGTTGCAGGTTTCTTCATGGGTTTACAACTGTTGAGAAGCAGTAAAAATGAGGCAGCTTTTGGATCATCTCAAGAGAAAATTTCATGCTGAGCTCACGAGGGAAAGGTATATTCAATAGGATGTAATACGACTGCATATCCAATATACGTGCAGGGGTCTGGTCTGCATATCCAAAAGTTGCGGCACTGCCTGCAAGTGCGGCAGCGGCAACACGTCAGTCATCTTCTCCTGCTTCAAGTGTAGCCAAAATGTGGATGGGTATATCTACTCCACGTGACGGTGACGTGTCTGCTTTTCTGCAGTTGTTGCACTTATTTTCACCAACTGCTTTTGTGACATCGATGAAGAGAAGACTTTTGAGAGTTATTTCACCGTCCAATGTCGAGTATCAAGTACTTCACAGACTTCTCTTTAGTCTTGTGATTCAGGCCAGTTAGAAACGGCTGTTGACCTTCTAGATTGCATTTGAGCTCGACTAGAATAAATCTGCCGTGGAGTAGGATCTGAAGTATTGGATCTAGCGAGTCCACTCTAATGCGCGGATCCGTTTTGTCAATGAAGCTGCTGCGCTAAAAGATGCATGGACGACTTCGAGAGTTCCGAGATGAGAGGGTACAATTCTACGCTCTTACAAACCACCATGTTTGAGAAAACAGAGAAAATCGTACTTCCAGACTTGACCTTCTAAATTTGTCAATAATAATCCACACTACAAATCTGACGCAGGGAATTTATAGTTTGCTGTTTTCTTCTTTCATTGTGTTTGCTCTTCTCTAATAAAGCTTCTGATGATATTTCAGCTTTGAGGGAACCAATGAAGGATGCAAGTGCGGTGACAAATGCTTATGCAACCCTTGCAACTGCAAATGAGAAAGCAGACCATGTACAAACTGCAGACCTCGACAGTGCGGACGAACGATAGAATCGTGACTTGATTTCTCAGTTTGCTGTAGGGTCATGGTCTAGTACTATGCATAGGACGCAAAGCGGGCCTGCTGTTGTTCAGGTGAATATAATGTATGTCTTTTGCGTAGAAGCTCGAAAAGATTAATAAAGACAGAAATTCAAGAAGACGTCCGAAATCCCTCTGTATGTCTCACAGTTGTCCTGAACATGAGCGATGAAGGAGTTTGTCCTGGAAACTCCTGAGGTTATAATGGAACTTAATTTACAAGCATCCAATCAATACACGCGTTGATATCAACCCCAAGCCACTCATACTGGCATTATCTGATTTCAAGGCCACCGCATCTCCCTACCTGTCTCCCTACCTGTCTAGAACCCAGGAAAAGAAGGCCAGATGTACGAATACAAGAGAAACAGTTGTTCAAGAACGGATTTTGAAGCTCGGAAATTGCAGATGAGTGGCTTTGAGTGGAGTGAAAAGTCCTGAACTCTAATTTACCAAGTGTACGATATGAAATCCGTCAGCAGCCGAAGAGAGGAGATTGGCTGAATTGTAGTCTCTCCCAGTGACCAAATGCACACGACGACTGGGAAGATTTGAGAGATTCACAGCAGATTGGGATATTTTTACTACGGCTTCAGGATTGTCCATTAGGATTCAAGCTACGATAATACAGAAGCAGACGTCGTGCAGGGGTCTGGCATGACGTCATTTTAGTCGAGTTCAGCACAAAATTAAAGGCATGTGGATTGCAGCGAATGAGTACAAAAGACGAGAACTCAAATCCAACGCAAAGGAATTCCAATGTACACCATCCTCGTAGTCACGCTGGATAGAAAAACGACTATGTAGACAATTGTAGCCGATTCGCTCTAGATATATAAGTCGGGTCGCAATGAATTGAAACTCATTGCAACAAGTAAATCGAGGGCTGAGAAATTGAGCAGCTGATCTGGAGCGTTCCGACGTAGCTTTGCAATTTCTAACTACTGGTGCAACTCGAAGAATCTGGCACCCAAAACATATTAGTCTTTTACATACAGCGTGCAATTTAATCCTGATTATCAATCAACTGGAAACCAGCCATGTTTGATTCTAGGTCACAATCAATAACTCCATTAAATAGTTTATTATTTAGAGGAGGACGTTTTCACAAAGAAATTCTCAATATCCAGAATTTACATCATCTGCATTCACTTATACAGTATATTACAGCATGGTCATCAGGTCAATTTTCGCAGTTCAGGTTACCTGGAAGATCTAATCTGAACATTGATACTGGCCAAAATTTTTTGGTTTCTGTATGTGTCCATTTGTGTACTTGAAGTAGAACTTTTATAAAATGTTGGAGTTCCTGCGCAATCATTGCATCTTACAAAGAAAAGGCGAGAGTATTCACCGGAGTCTCTTTCACCTTTTAGCACTACTCTCCCTTTGACGTGCGAAGACGAGGCACTGCTGGGCTTTGAGGTTCCCGATCGATCCAGCCTAGAAAAGGAAGTAGTGATTAGTGCAGGCGTAATCCTAA